AGAGGGCTCCCTGCTTGCCACGCTATGGCGTCTGCAGGAAAGCAGAGTTGCAGCGGAAGTGGTGGATGATGGATGCCACGAGAATAGATATTTATACAGAACAAAGAGAGGACCTGCGAGGTGGATGCATAGCACCAGGAGAGCAGAGTTGCAGCAGAAGAGGTGGATGACGACGGTTAGCAGTCGTACTGCACCATCTGCTGACGGCAACACCCAGGACACAACAGCAGCAGTGACCGTGAGCTGAGCGGGCTCCATGCTTGCCGAGGTATGGCGTCTGCACGGAAAAAAGGCGCAAAACGATTGTCTGCCGTTGCTTTCACGAAGGGAGGGACGACTGATGACATGTACCCAAAACCACCCGCGACAATGTTTTTGCCCCATCAGACATTGGGAGCGTAACCCAGAATTCCAATGGGTGGCAGAGACTGCGGGAACTGTAGGTTAGCTACCCAGAGTGCACTGCTCCGTAAGTCGATGCTAGCCATGGTAGTGAGGACACACTCCGCCGACTTAACGTGCTTAGTGTGGACATACGCAATTGACTGTATAAAATAGATTTCTAAAAATCAACTTCTATAAAATTGACCTAATTTCGTAGCGTAGACATACCCAATGAGTAGAGATACCAGTAGGTGATTTCATTTTGTCCTACAACCCACCTTTCCCAGTTGGTCATTACTTTGGTTAGACCAGTAAAAGTGTACACACGTAGTTATTAAGGAAAAGCTCTATAAAATTTACACCCTACCTTAATCCACATTAGTTTTCAAGTGTGGACAAGCCCTAACACCTATTGCAATAAACATGACAGGGTTTTTCACAATGAATGAAAGCTATTTAAAAAAAAAAAAAAGTTATCCATCCACAGAGGGGCATACTGCTTACAAACTGCAGGGAAAGTACTCTGTTGTAAACCCATCCTTCCACTTGAGAAGTCCGTTTGAGTTGTATAAAGGGAACTGATCTCTAATGCAGGAGTTCTGGGCAGAAAAGTTTCCATACAGGATTTTTGTTCCACCAACTGACTGGAGGGAGTGTCACTAGTCTTGACATTAAGCAGCACTACAATAGGAAGATTTCACTGCGTCTGACCTTTGAGAACTGACTGAGCAGAGGACAAAAGGAAGGAAAGCATACCTAAAAGCAGTGTTTCTCAAATGCAGCCACTAAGGGCTTTTTTTGTGGCCACAGTCTCCTGGGCTGTGATTGGGGGGGGGGGGGGAAGCAGGCAAAATAGCAGCCCCCCCCCTTGGTCCTGGATGCACCACCTTTGTTGCTGGGGCTGCCAGCAGGGGGTAGGGGCTGCCCTCCTCTGGAGACACCTGGAGCACAACGCTGGAGGAGTTGGCAGCCAGTGAGTTCCCCACCTTCCCAGGGGCAGTGGGGCTCAGGCTTTGGGCTTCAGCCCTGTGGTGGCAGGCTCTGGCCTCCTGCTACCTTCCCCGGCCCCCCATCCAGGGCTTACTCAGTCCTGCCAAGCCTGGGGACAAATTAAATCTACTGTGAAACAGAATACTTGTGGTATTAAACATACATTTCACAGACTTACTAGCTAGCAATAAATAACTATGATTTGGTATTTAAATCATTGATGTATATGTGCATATTTATTTGTTTTTCCTCAAGCTAATTAATTAAGTGAGAGAGTGTGGCCACCAGCAAGAATTGGTGGCCACACTCTGAGGCCACTAAAAAAATTTGTCCTCAGAACCCCTACCTTAGAAGTCACAATCCTGAAGAAAAGCATTGTTCGTCAACCACAAATCAGTTTAGGCAGGCTGCTTGCCCAGTCATTGAAAATCCATTGGAAGATTTTGGTCTGCAGAGTTTAGGCTCCAAACCCCCATAACCGCAACCCAGAAAATACACCAGTCTGCTTGTGTGTTGAAGCTTTTGTAATTAATGCTGCCCTCAAGGACATAAATCATGAAATGGTTCAGGACAAAGTCCAATGACCTCCGAAGTGCTCAAGTGTTTACGGATGTTCCCTTATTGATAAAGAGTGTACAACTGTACAAGATGATAGAATGATGAGTGAAGAGGTGCGCGCCTATTTCTACAGTTACCAGGCCAAATTATTGAAAGGTAACCTAATTACCAATGCCATCCACCTGCATTGTTAAAGCAAGGAGACTATCCTCCTGTGCTGACGGAGGTGTTTAGCAGTGGTAGGGAGAGGACAAGACTGAAGGCAACGTTAATATTGCTGATGAACACATATGAGCTAAGCAGTATCTATGTTTATGCCTTTTTTTTTTTTAAAAAAGCAGGTTGAAGTTACGGCTTTATATCTTCCTAGAAAAAAAGTGAGGTTATATGAATGTTAGAAGAAGAAACCACCACCCAGTGAAGTCAACAGTGAAGATGGAAAGAAATACTATGAGGTAGCAAGCTTTCTACAGAAAGATTTTATTACAGGTGAGATTCTAGCAAAGTAAGACTCCACTCTAATTGTACCAAGGTTAGTAGTGATTCCAAAACAGTGCATAAATTACTGACTCAAAAAACCTTAAGTTGAGGTGGTAGAAAACTATTCAACTAAATGAAGCAGTGAGAACTAAATTCTTCTGAAATGTAAATATTATCAAGGGTTAAGCAGCAGCAAACTAAAGAGATCTATGCAAATCCCAAGAATACAAGAACTTCATAAATTCTTTCACAGCCCTCATCAGGTTCGGTTGAATGAGAAGGGACGATGGATGCCACAACTTTCTAGTGACAATTTTTCTGGGAGTTTCAGATGTAATCACTACATCTGTATCCAGCTGACGTAAGCAAACTGAAGCTTGCACTGATCTTGAGGACTTTGATCTAAAGCATAGCATACATTTTACAACAGGATTCTACCAAAGGTCCTGAATTTACATAAACAAGTGAAGATAATGTTGGAGAAGTGACAGTGACACTACGACTCAGATGCTGACAGAAGTTTAGCTTGATAGCAGATTACAAATATAAAAAGGTCATAAGTTGAGCCCAGAACAGGAAGAATTCACAGAAAAAAAATAAGAGCTGTTCCTCTCTTCTTTTAAGGCCTTAAAATCGAAGATCCAAATTTTCTATCCTAAACCTATGCTTGTAAAATCATGACAATTCATTGGATCAAAGTGATAGAAAAACTGTGGGAGATCCACAGAAGATCATTTAAATTGAACGGATAGAACTCAGAATTAGAGAGACCACCTGCTTCCCTGTCCAACGTCGTCAGTATAAATATTTTTAGCATGTCTGTACTGTTCTGGCAAGACTAATAGGTTAGGTCAGTGGTCCCCAACCTTTCTGTGAGAATAGCACATTCCTATTCCCGCCACTGCCCCGGCGGGCGCCGCTTTGGGGACCCCTGGGTTAGGTGCTGTAAAAAACAAAAAGTACTTCTAGCAGTGTGTATCTATCCAAGGCTAGATACAAAAGTGGGCGATGAGGTGGGGTGATAACGCTGTCCAGGAGTTCAGAGATGTGCATTCTATTCCTGGCTTTGCAGCTGACTGGTAATGTGACCCGTTTCCCCAAGTATAAGATGGGTATATTAGACTTACCTTTGTTCGTAAAGTGCTCCGAGAGCTAGAACTGAAAAGCAATAAGTATCAACTAGTTCAGGGATTGGCAACTTTTAGCCCACGGCCTGCCAGGGTAAGCCTCCTGGCAGGCCAGGCTGGTTTGTTTACCTGCCGCATCTGTAGTTTCAGCCAATCGCAGCTCCCACTGGCCGCGGTTTGCCGTTCCAGGCCAATGGGGCATGCGGGAAGCAGCGGTCAGCATATCCCTTGGCCCACACCACTTCCCGCAGCCCCCATTGTCCTGAAACGGCAACCCGCGGCCATTTGGAGCTGCGACTGGCCAAACCTGCGGATGCGGCAGGTAAACAAACCAGCCCGGCCTGCCAGAGGGCTTACCCTGGTGGGCCGCGGGCCAAAGGTTGCCGATTCCTGAACTAGTTAATAGCTAGAAAGCTATTATTGTATTCTACTTAAAGAACGGCAATCCCTTCATTTTGGACAACGTGTGTCTTTTTATATCTGAGGAATAAATATACTTGACAAATCACATAACTAATATTTGTCTTTAACCTTTGTGGGGTTTTTCCACCCATCAACTCTAAGAGAAAGTATGTTTTTACCAGGCTTAAGGGGGGGAAAAAACACCCTCTCTGTACATTGCATTTTTCCTACCACCTCCCTTATCTTTTCCTGCTCTCCTGTCCCCACAGATTTCAAGACTAGATGAGACCATTCAGAGCATCACTTTTAACCTCCTGCATTTCAGTAATTCCAGCACTGAGCCTAACAACGTATGGTGGAACCAGATCATCTTTTACAAAAATCAGTATCTTTTAGATATCCTCAGTGATGGAGAATTTACCCTCTCTCTTGGTAATTTATTCCAGTGGTTAGTTCTCCTCACACAGTTAGAGGTTTGCACACTTTCCTCTGACAAATCTCTCTTTTCCTCCTCCTCCACCGATCAACACACAGGATGAGTCTGGTTGTCCCCCTCCTACTCCTGCGGTTAAGCACATGTGGTATCTGGCTTGCTTAGATTCCTAGCTCACCTTATCCACAGAAAGTAACAGTGCCAGCTCTTCTATATTCTGGCTCTCCTCCTCCCTCATGAAGAGGCGTCTGAGATACTGTGTTCACAGCTAATACTCTTAAAAGGAGTAGTCCCTGGCTACTCTGTTGCCAGGCTTGATAACTTCCCAAAGAGGAAAGAGCCAGCAACTCCGCTCCCTAGCTTTCATCAGCCCACTTGCATGTCCAAACTCTGACCTGCTCCATGCAGCAAGTTTTGTCTAAACCAGGATACAGTGGTCAATATTGGTGAGCTCAAGTTCTGAGCCAATCCCAATTTTGAGAAAAGTTAATTGTCTCCAAACACATCACTAGTGTGAAAGAATGCTATGTTTTGTTCTTGCTCATAAGTTCCCTCATGTAGGTACAGTTACAACTACCATTCTTAACTCAAGCAATTTATATTTAGAGTTTCCACTTTAGTTTTACCTTCTTCGTTGTCACTGTACTGGTCAGAATCATTATTTCCATTCTGTTTGGTGTTCTCAGCTGATGAAGAAACTGTTGGTAGAGGTGTCGAAGACCCCAACGCTGGGCCTTGTTCCTTCAGTTTCTGCAATTTCTTCTCATAGATCTTTCTTGTAGTAGCTGTAACAAGGCAAAAAAAAAAATACTCAAAGAATTGAGAGACCGTGCACCTTTACTTGACTCCAGTGTTGGACCTTCCTGGTTTACAGACCCGTGGCGGTCTTACTGGCTACTTCTGTTACAATTTGCCTCTGTTACAATTTGCCTCTGTCTGTTTGGCCAAACAGGTTTAGAAAGTAAGAAGCTACTCAACAGGATATGCCTGCTTATTATTTTTTTTTAATTTTTTATTTTTATATTTTTTGAAGTTAGAGCATTCTACTCACCTGTTTTATCTAAATCTGGATTCCTTGAGACATGCTAGAATATGAAGAGAGCATGCTGGATCTTTGCTTGAGCCATAAGTATCCCTTCCCCAATCAATCATGCAAGTGACAAGTTAGTTTCATTGTTTAGTTGTTGGTGGGTTAAAAGGAAGATGTATCAATGCTGAACTAAGAATATCTTTTCTTCAATTAGCAGGACACACAGATCTGCCTGTCAGTCTTCAGCTTGCTCACAGGTCTGGTTCTGCCCCCAGAATTAGTCATTGGAAGTAAAGAATGCCACTCGGGCAAATGCCTGACATCCAAGGCACAAGAGGAGAAAGTATCAAAAGGAATTTGACCTATTGCTAGGTATCCATAAACAAAATCATCCCCCAGAGGCACAATAATCAAAGGAACCATGGACTTCCTAAATAGCAGTTTTCAGCGTTTCCAGGATCTGGTCTGTACACAGTTGGCAGCTATTGGCTAGCTTCAGGAGGGGACCCTAATTAAACAACTTCCTATAAGAGGGACAGATAAATCATTTCCCATCAGGCGCCACTATCAGAAATATCAGTACTTCTATGAAAGTACTCAAAGAGATGTGGCTAGATAGACAAATGCTGTTTAATGAAGGAAGCTCCTGCAAGCCGTTCAGATAGGTATGTAAGGCATATCTCCTTTAGGTCTATGGGTGAGAAAACAATCTCTGGGAGATGGCTACTAGGGTGTACATCAGTCTCAGCCTCTCAGAGGGTTGCTAAAAGTAATTCAGATAAATTACTTCTCTCTTCCCACACGGTCAATTGTGAACCAAGATTAACAAGCAAGAAAAGAGTTTCTAATAGGAGTATCTAAAAGTAGCATTACTTCCTTCCTACTCACTTTCTTTTATGGGTTGTTTGAAGTTTAAATCTGCATTTGAGAATTTTGATCAATCTCTTATTCCTTCTGGGCTATATCCAGAAGTCATTCATCTAATGTCGTAAGCATCCAGCTTTCTGCAAACAGAAATCTACTAGCAAATCATTCTGTCTGCTTCAAGGAATTTCAGGGCAAACTCATATGATGCTCGCTAATCTATTTACCCTTGTTGCATTAGTTCTCTTGCATTTGCTTGCTAAGAAACTTTAGAACTACTGGATCTATAGGATTTTGAGTATGGATTGTATTCTTCTTGTACTGATTCAGACATGAGGCCCTTCCCAACTTCTTGTCCAGAGAGCTTTCCCACTTAATACTTAGTGGCGCCAACTGTTTGGCCTGGATGTCCACTTCCACTAGGTATAGTATAAATATAAGACAACACTCTAGTCCATTATTCCAGCTACGAAACACAGGATATCTAAAGATGCATCTGATGTTATTGTAACTACAGAGATCTTTCAAAGTGGACTTTCTACCCACAAAAATTTTATAGCCTGAAGATGTATGAGGTCTAGTGCATCTCTTCCACATCAGAGCTACTCATGCAAAGCCCATGGAGGCTGGCAAAGCCCTGAAAGTAGCTGATGATGCTTTGTTTCTACTCAACCATGAGCCTACCAAGTTTTCCTTCAGCAGGAGTGGCAGTGTCTTTCTCAAGACAGTGTGATCCATTTTCGGTAGGCCACCAGGTCTGTTCCGATTCAAATTAAGGAATCTTCCCAATTATAGGTTAAGCATTTGGATTTTGCAGGTGGCTCTTCCTCCAGTGTTACTTTAAGGGTTTTATGTAAGTTTTTGCACTGGCTGTTGATGCATACTTTGGGACAGAAAGTCAGCACAGAAAAATTTTAGATAGGCAGTGTTGATAACAGTTCCATTAGAGCTCTGCTGCAGAGGATGCAAAACAGGCTAAGTATATACCTACACCAGCAATTTAGATGTTTGAACCTATTTCAATTGGGAAAGGAGTCTTCCCATAGCAAGCAGTTTAGAGTAGGAAAGTCCAATCTTTGGTGTTTTACAGAGACTACTGGCACCTTCATCTCACTGTGATGACTAGTCTTGGGGAGGCATACTCAAAGGGATTTTTCGGGGAGAGGGAAGAAAAAACAAAAACAAAGTTATAACAGGGAATTGCAGTGTGAAAGAGCTTATATTTGAGTTCCCACCTCTGCTTTCCCAACAGCTCCCTAACATTACTGTGCATCATGTTTTCTTCGTCAGCTTGCTGAGCAATGCAAATTCTCTCCTGTGCAAGTGACCTATGAAAGCCATGAGCCAAAGAAAGGTATATGAATTATTGGATATATGGAGATCTAATGTCCAGTTTCTCAAATCTACTCCATGAATTGTATTTGTTCAGACTACAGAAAAAATGTGTTCTGAACAAGGTAGATGAAAGTGATTTTTAAAAATCAGGTAGATTTAAATATTTTTATAAAAATAAGTCTATTTAAAATTAAATTTGAAGGTATGACAACCTATGTTTAGGCCTAAACTTACTATAATCTATTAACATAATGGACATTAGATAAATGATTATGCAGTATATGTTTGAGGCTGAAGTTTTCAAGGTAGTCAAACGACTGACCTGGTGGAAGTCACTGGCTAAGCACTTGGAACCAGAGTTTGTTGAAGTACTAAACTATCTTCTGACAGCAGTAGCCTCTTCTGCACATTCTCCTCATTTCAGTTTATTCAGCTAGTTCAGTTCAATTACTACTTCAAAGCTGACAAATTAATGGAATTAAAACAGCAGGAAAGTTTATCTTCCTCTTCCAAACTAGAAACATGAACTAGGTGGGAAAGGATGAGATCTACAGTTCTAAAAATCTTGGAAGGATCTGATGACCAGAAACAAATCAGTTCACTAACTACAGACAATTCTTTGTTTAATAAGTCAGTTAGTTTTAAATGTAAGATACGTTTTGATAAACTTATTGTACCTTGTGTATCCAGCACATTTAAGGTAACTTTATTTTTAAACAAAATAAGTAAATACTGTGGTTTTGTGCATTTTTATTTGCATTTCAGTTTTCATCCAAACAGAGCTTGACACAAGTCACAAGTAAATAATTAATCAAATCAGTCACAAAGATGGATACAGAGTCTGACCGGGAAATACAAGGAAATGAGACAATAGCGGTCAGCAAAAGAGGCAGCACACCAGAAGCCTAATCATTGTCCATTTTTTTGAATAGGCCTCTAGAGCATGTTTTAATGATTACAAACAATTAGCCTCTTTTTAGGGAAGTAACTGAAGTACAAAAGCAAAATAAGATTAAAATAGATTTAAATCAATGTATGCTAATTGCTTATTTAAAATCAATCCACTAATTCTAAGGTTGTACAGTTAGTCTTCTCATTAATGTAAATTGTTTAATTTCACATGTATGGATATTTGTAAGTTAAATTACCTGTTTGGAATACAAACCCTCTCTAGCAATGACTGTTGCAATTACCTTCAATTAAAGAACCAGAAGTGTATTGTATTTTTATTTTATTTAAAATCATACTTCTCACAGTGTATTAGCTCTTTACACTGTAAGCTCTGCAGCACAGACCATACATTACTTATGTGACGCAATATTTGTATGTAATTATACAAAGTAAATCAGTAGAATTTGATATCTTTTACCTACCTAAAATTGGACCAGGGGTCACTCCATATTTTAAAAGTTGCTCTTGAAGGTCTTCATTACTGAGTTCTGTTACATCTAGGTCATCTTTCTCCTCCAGCCTAGGTTTGTCTGTTTTCTTTGTGGCTTTCTGTAAAGGGAAAAAGAAAAGAAAAAAATACACCATTTCTCCACGCATTACAAAACCAAAGTCTCTGTCCCTATTGAAGGAGTAAAGAGAATGCATGTGGGCTGTACTGAAGCAACAGAGGACAGCAGTTTTGATATTCACTCATTTTTGTTTAGTAGTGTTACCTTTATCAATACCAGATAAAAATATTTCACACAGCATGGAAGTCTTAAATGAACACAGGCCTGCTGGCCAGTTTTAGACATGAAAGAACGTGTTTTAAGAGCTTCGGAGATAAGATCCTACTCATTTTTCTTATCTTCTATGCTGATTTGGACAAGCACAGGCCATCACAAATCTTATCTTTCCTACAAATGATAGATCAGGTTTGAAAACTTCCCCAACACTATTTGTCTGAACACTAAGCCTACTGGCCCACCAAGCTGAAAAATACCTTTGCCATCACACCCCACAAGCTCTGTATTTAGTTTCCAGTGGCATATCTTCATGCTCACCCACCCCTACCTTGCAGGACTCCACTACCCTTGTGGACACACAGGAAGTCTTGGGCCTTCGAGCACCTCTTTCCTCTTAAAGTAGTAATGGGCTCATGAGCTGCTCTGCTCCTGCCGCTCCCAGCCATTCTCTGGAGAGTTACATTTTAGTTTAAAAAAAAAAAAAAAAAATTCCCCAAGTCCTATCTACATTATTGCTGCCACTATTGCTACCACTGGTGAAATTCTAAGTTAGTAACTGCAGACAAAGCCAGGGGCAATCAGCAAACAGTCACTGTCTATAACTTTTATAACTCTGCCAAGCTGCACTATTCCTCAATAGGAAACGTATTTATGTCTCACCTGAAAATTTCCTTTCTTGGAGTAACGAAGCCTGCAGATTCATAATATTGGGTACTCTACTCTCTGCAGCCTTGGAGACCGACCAAGCTTGTCAGAGGCAGGAGAGGTGTGTCTCCACCTCTGAGAAACTGCCAGTGGCTACACTTCCATAGCCTAGGAAAAGCTAATTTTCCTCTATATCTCAGGAGAAAATTAAGTACTAAGACTAAACAGAAAAAGTCTCCTGCAAAGCAAAGATTTCAGTGAATAACTAACTGAATGCCAATTAATAATTTGCTATCCTTTTCCAATGAATAGTCCATTCAGGGTAGTTAGGATGTGTGGACCTCCATGCTCCAAGAAAAAAAGTTTTTAGGTAAGATACAGATGTACTTCATTACAAGCAAGAATAGGGAAATTTATGGGAGAAACAGGGATTTAAAAGCTGGGTCCACTCAGATGGGGCAAAGAGGACCCTAAGCTGTTATGTGCAGATATTAAGGGGGATAACCCTTTCCTGGTAGTTTTTGTGACACTACAGTGAGGAGCACCTATTTACCAAACCAGCATCCGATGACTGGATGTGTAGCTTGTAGAATTCAAAAGGTGGTATGAACAGATGACCAGATAGCTGCTTTACAGATTTTCTTGTGTGAGGCAAATGATATTTCTGCCCAGGAAGCTGCCACAGCTCTAGTGGAGTGAGCTCTGATATTGGAAAACGGAATTAGGCTTTTTGACTTGGATGGTATGCTTCCAAGATGCAGCATCTGAGCCACTTGGGGAAAAAAAAAAAACACCCACAAACAAACCAAAAAACCCCCAACTCTTTCCCTTTGACACTGGATTATAAGAGCATGTGTTTTTCTGACCTGACCTGTGTGATGAATATGCACTTTGAGAGATCTGCAGACATCCAAAGAATACCAAAATTTGTCTTTGGAGTACAACGGCGCTGGACAGAGCTCCTAAAGTCAGCTATCCTGTGCTCAGACAAGACTATCATCAAAAAAGGCCACTTTAATGGTTAAAAAGTATGAGACACCTTAATGAGTGGTTCAAATGGAGGGTCTCTAATGGCACTAAGACCACCAGGTAAAGTTCAGTAAGAGAACTTTTTATGCATATTGGGAAAATGTTGCTCTCATAAGAAAAAGTACTAAAATGCTGGACATCTGGGGAATATGAAATTCACTACTTATCTGCTGTACTAAGGATTCTAGACAAAGCAGCAACCTGACCTCTGAGAGCCTGAAGTGCCAGGTCTAATCTAAATACATTTTGAAGAAATCTGAGAATATGTGGTGTCGATGCAGACGAGGGGGACAACACTGTTGTCCTAGAATCAGTGGTTTAAAGTTCAAAAGGGTCCATAAATATGCTGAATTAGTATATTTATTTCTGGAAGCTAAAATTGTGGATATTGGCACACTGAATAATCTCTTTGGCCTCAGAGGCTCTGTTCAAGAACCAGGCAGCTAGGCTTGGGTTGTCTGGATTCTGATCCAGATCTCTCACAGTGCATATTCACCACACGGGTCAGAAAGACAAATGCTCTTGTACTTTGTTATCCAGTAGCCCTTGTAAGATCATCTCTCTTCTGACTGGAAAGCACATGGGAGATGTTTATACCTTGTCAAGGAGACCAGAGAATCAAGCCCTCCATGGCCAGACTGGGGATACCAGAATTACCAGTGCTACTTTCTCTCCTGAATCACTCTGGAGAGGAAAAGTGGGGGAAAGGCATAAAAGGAACTTTCTGGTCATCTTTGCAACAAGGTATCTGTTGCCTTGGTTGTGAAACAACCAGCAAGAGAACAATGCTAAAACTTCGTGATTCCAATCGGAGGCAAATAGATCTACTGCTGAGAGACTAAATTTGTTTACCAGGAGATGAGACACCTTTGGACATAGTCAAAGAACAGAAGACACAGTCAAAGGCATCAGGAGGTGAGCTTCTCTCTGGAAGACTGTATCTGCCATTATACTCCATGGAGGTGAGCAGGGAAACCAGGTGCTGAGGATTATTTGCCCTGCCACACTCTGCAAAATTATGCAGCTTGAAGGAAACTGATTTCGCTATGTGCCAACAAGAGGAATCACATGTATCAGACTCTTCAGAAGATGAAAGGGATTAGAGTCTTTTTTTGGGAGTGTTTTATGTTGGGGCAACTAGAGGGGTCTGAATATCTGGGACACTACTTTCTTATGCCTCCCCTTGATCCAGCTCCTGAGAAGGAGAAAGAAACTTCAGACTTCTAGTTCCTGGGGTGGGAAGGGGAGTGGGTGGTTCTTCTGGTTACTCTTTTGCACAGCTGTCTTTTCCTGAAAAAGAGGAGGTTTGTGCTGGACTGGGTCAAAAAGGGGGCTTCTCAGGGTCTCATGCTTTGTTCAAGTGAAATTCCTCCATGTAGCCTGGAGATGTGATGGGCACCAGGCTCCAACCCTGGACATTCAAAGGGAGTCCTCGGTCCATTTGCTGCAATGGACCTACACTGCTGGTAGGAATGGAGGGAGGGGTTGGGCTCAGGGGCCCCTTACTAGGCTCACCTTGTCTCTGGATCCCTGTCAGTAGCTCTCTGCCACTGCAGCAACAGTGCGCAGCTGCTCCGCAGCCAGACAACGTGGCTGAGAACTTGGACTTTGGTGACTGGGTGGGAAACTTTGCAACTCTTTGATACCATGTTTCAGCCTACTGTGGAGGAGGGGAGAAAGGGAGCCACTGCTTGCTGATCCCAGGCCAATGCAGTCATCTGTGCCAGACCTGGGGGTTTTGCTATTGAGATACTGCCACTGCTTTCTGGGAGCTGTCCCACTCAGGGAGGAAGGCGGCAGAAACCCTGCCCCGCCTTTGCACTTTAGAGGCCTGGGTCTCCACAGAAAAGGCAGAAATTCCATTTAAGCACTTAATCAGCAGAGAGACAATATCTAGTTTTCCCACTTAGCCTTCTCTACCAGAGTCCCAGCAAACGTCTAGCCGTCCAGTCAGAGCAGCTGTTAGCTTTGTATAAATTTGCAAGCAAATCTGCTCTTACTTCAGGGATCACACTACTGTAAATAAAATTAAATGGGGGCATTAGTGACAGCATCCCAACTGAAATTGGCTGATTGGTTATCAATTGCTATGGATTTTCCACCAATATGTATCTTCTTGGGCTCTGGAGTGGAGACTTGGACTCTCTTAGCCCAGAAATTCCCATGGCGTGCTGCTCTCTCTCTACTCATACAAAAAAGGAAGCTTCTCAATGTCTAGTTTGAGCCTGATCAAGCCCACGGCAAGAACAGAAAGGTATCTTCAGTAGAACCTATCACAGCTCTTTACGCTTGGCTTGGAATCCCTTAATTCCTAATCTAGTCTCTTTGAGATTCAGTTTACAAATGTAATCCAATTAGGGGATTAGTCATATCCCTAAACCACGTTTACCCCATTTTGGTTTTCCATATAAACATTTTAATTGCTTCAATAACTAGTTCCAAAACAGTTGAAAACTATGAAGCCTACAACATAATAGAAGAACTCAATTTATAAAAGAAAAAAAAAGAGGCCTTTTAAAAGTTTACTTATTGGTCTGTCAGCCACACTCAGTTTGTAACATTAAACATGGCATTCATCTTAACCAGTTTCACATTTGCTCAATTTTTTCTTACTTATCCTTTTTGGTCAAGGCAATGAAATAATTAAAGACTGAAACTCTAGTCAGCATGTTAAAACTCATGCTGGATTCTCTAGTAAGCATCTATTTAGGCTAGTACCTTATTGTAGTGGTGGTAAAGCACTGGCCACATCAGTGACCAGATTGACACTACAAAACAAAATACCTCAGCATGCCAGAGGAGTACAGCTAGGTGTGAGGGAAACAATTACAGACATTTAACATTCAAAGAAAATAACAGCAACTGAACATAATTTACTGTATTTCTGTACAGATATCAATTCATCTAGGACACGTAGGAAACTTCCCCAAACAACTGCTATTAGCTTTTCCAAATTCAGAACTTTCATTTTGAAAAATAAGTTTAAGATGTTAACGCTGCAAGGAAAACCTTCCTACCACAGAAGTTAATCTGATGCACAGATGTCCTAACTATGCAGCCAGTTCTAGCATCTCCGCAGCGATCCTGGAGATTCTGCAAGCTGCAGCAGAGTGAAAAATGGCTACTCCTGCTAGTTTTTATTGCTGTTTA